ACCCCGCAAAAATCACACGTGTAGTTGGTGTTTTTCGGACGTGGCCGCCCCTCGAATCTGTCGACTTCCATCGGGTCGGCGAACGTGGGGTGAGCCGAGCGGTCGCCCTGTCGCGTACTGCCGACGTGCGTCCGTCGTGTTCCGGCGTTGACCATGTCGAAGCGCTCCGCTGCCGAAACGACGTCACTGTAGCTCGCGTAGTTTGACGCTGCGACTTGTCGTTTGACTTCGGTCTTCAGCCCGGCGAGGTACGATTGTACTTTTTCCCCTTCGGTCAGGTCGGGAATGCGGTTATAAAATTCTTCCATCTGCTGCGTGTACTGTGCTACACTCCCGAACTGTCGATGGCGATGAATTTTTTCGCGGGCAAGGAAACTCGAATTTATCGGTTCGAAGCGTTTCAGCAGGTCGGCGCGGAACTGCTGCCACGTGGCTTCACCGTGGATGAAGGTGCTGTTGCCGCCAATCCACTCGAGTGCCGGCCCTCGTATCAGTGTCGCCGCGAGTCGTACGCGTTGACCGTCCCAGACTGGCGAGCTCCATCCGACGGCTGCGAAGTAGATCTCCATCCCGGCGATCCATCTGCGGGCGTCGGAGTTTCGATCGCTCGGATCGAACGGCTCAGGTGGGCGCGGTTTCGGAGCCTCGAGAAACTGCTGCGACTGCTGCGTCGTCGCCGTTGTCGTCTCGTGCTGCGCTCCGGCGAGTCGAGTTACTCGCTCGAGCTGGTTTCGCCACGCTTCGCGATCCGCTCGCATTTCCTCCTGAAGGGCTGCGATGCGCGCGAAGAGCTGTTGGGTAACCTCGGCGTTGTCGAAGGTTGCCATCCTGTTCAAAACACGCACGGAGGGGGTAATTCGAAAATCGCGGAGCTGGTGCTTACCAGAATCGGCGTCGAATTGGTCGCCCCCGGCGGTTTTTCGAGGCAGGATCCCCGCTGCTGCTGCTTAGCTGAGCGCGGTCGAGTGAGAAAAGCTCTGATTACGAAGTGTCACAGGATCGAATGTGTCGAGGAAAGGTTGCACTATCGATCAGTACAAGGCGCTTTTATACTTCCAGAGTACATCAGGTAACCAGGTTTATCTTATCCTAAGGGAATAGACCCTTCTAGAAGATAGAATCACCCTGCGTATAGCCATGCGAGGCTATTGGCTTTAAGGGATTACAGCAGGATTACGCTAGATAGAGCGCACCAATACATCCCAAGCCTGGTCGGTGATATAATGATAATAGCAGGATAAACCAAAGGTTAATGGAAAAGGAAGAATAGGAAACCAAATGAGATGCGGTAAAAAGAGAAATGAAAAGGGAAGGAAATAAGAAAAGGCCAAGTGGTGTAACGGGGTCGTACTCTCACAGTCGTGGAGACAGGTACTCCAGGAGTTCCGGAACTAGATCCGGTAGATGGTGCTGGTGATGTTCCAGTCATTGTTGACAGTAGTCTGAATTCCAGATAGCTCTCATACCATGTAATAATTTGACAGGTGTTGCAGGAGACTAAGTATAGAATCTGCGAACACAAACACTTGGAAAACCTCAAGTGTTAGCCTAGGATCTTTACTGGAATCATAAACTACTAGTAAGACAGCGGAAGTCTTGTAAGTGTGAACTTGAGCATATAATTCTGTGGAAGTCAAGTTTAAAGTCTCAAAGTTGAAATCTCAAGGTTAACAATAAAAGACATACCGTAATCCCCCGGATATAACACCCGCCGGAATAGTCACTCCATGGGTGGTTAATACGGGGGGGAGCTTATGATATGGTGCATTTTTTAGAGTACCCGCTTTTCAGGTGACGAATTTTACATAACGCCCCCCCTATTTTTATTACTTGGAGTACACTAAGACAATTGTATATTCAACCATATGGATCCTATCACTACAGCAGCGTTACAACACGCTTGAATTCCTACTCATTGTTGCCTACAAGAATAGCATCCAGTGAGTAGCGCAAGGCCTAGATCATGTCCTAGGGCTTTCAGTTAGAAATTAGAGACATCATTCACTACCTAATACTCCTCGTCATCCTCATCTCCAGTGTGCCAAGCCTCTACATCATCATCGTCGGATGCAATATCGTCCCAATTGTACTCTTCAGTCCATCGGGAGGCGGCCAGTCCAGCAAGTACCTCCGCCGCTGGCGCCATCTCTGTGGAGTCCACATCGCTGCTCTCTGTAGTGTCAGCCGCTTCAGGTGCAGTTGCAGCTACTGCTGGTGTTGTCGATGTTGATGCTGCAGCTTCTGCAGCGTTAAGTCGAGCCTCCGCCATCGCAGACGATTCCGCCACATCGATGCCAGGTATCGGTGCATGCTGCGGCAGGTCGACGTTGACAGTGATGTCACACTCCTCGTCCTCGGAGAGCTCGTCGGCGGTCGGCTCTACGAACTCGGCTTCGAAGAGGGAGTTCGTCTTCTCCCCGGTCGTCTCAACCTCCACGTGCACATCGTTCATGACCTCCAGCTCCGCCTTGTTGCGCATGTGGGCGAGTATGAGGTCGTCTTCGAGGCCATCGAGGTCGTTGGAGATGCCACAGGTCTTGAAAGCCTTGCGGATGAGGTTGGTAGGGACTGCCCCCCAGGCGGCCGCGATCCACTGCAGCACCACCTCCGCCGGAGGCTTTTTCAGATTTCCTGAAGGGCGGACAGGGTTGGGTGGAGATTACATCGCGCATTAGGCAAACCGAAGCAAGAACTTGAGCAACACGTCAAGGCGTCGTAAAGCAAACGGTAAACAAGAACGTATGAAGAGCAGAGCTCAAGGATATGAAGGGTATCACCTGCGGGAGTTGTCGCGTCGCAGCCGAACTCCTCAAACCAACCTGAGTAGGACCGGCGGACATGAGCCTTCAAGCAGCGGTTCACAGCTACGTCGAGAGGTTGGACGATTGGCGTGCAGCCGCCAGGTATGACGGCACGTGAGAGTTTGAATAGACGCATCAACGCCGCCACCCCCTCTGTCAGATGGCCTTTGTAGGAGTCGAGGACAACGAGAGCCTTCTGCCGCCAGCCACGAGGAGGAAGTCGCTTCAGAAAGGGGACAAGGACCGTCGTAATCCAGTCCTTCACGTGGTCCTCATCCATCCATCCCTTCTCCTGTGCGCGGATGACGATTCCTGCATGCAATAATGAACGAACCAAAAAGCTTAGTGTTAGTTTCTAACTCCCGTACATGAAACACTTACTGACATCAAGACCCAGTCGATACTAACCTGGCGGGACTCGAATCTTGGGGACCGTCTTGCGCTTGAAGATGACATACGGCTTCAGCTTCTGGCCGCCAGCAGTGACCGCCAGCATCACGGTCAACCGCTCCTTTTCGTAGCCAGCAGTCCGAACATGTACCGTCCTTGAACCGCGGACTTCTAATGTAGTCTCTTCGGGCATTTCGAGGAACAAGGGCGTCTGATCGGCGTTGATGATCAAGTCATCCTCATATTTGTTGACTGTGCGCATCTGGCGTACGAACTCCCAGAACTTCTCGACTTTAGCCTCGTAATCTGCATAACGAGAAGACAATAAACAATGTGAGTGTACATGCTTAAGTTCTTACAGCTCAATGAATGGGAAACCGCAAGCGAAATTGCTAAAGACCTTGCATATCAAGCACACAACGCACCGCTGGTTAGGCGCTGGCCCATCTTTGTCTTGACGCGCCGTGTCAATCCCCAACGCGTGCGGAACCGGAAGGTCCAACGGGATGACGCACGCCAGTCGACACCGGGATGGCGCTTCCGCATGAACTTCCTACTCCACTTCTGCAGACAACTCACCGACACCGCCAAGCCGCGCGCACGGTGTGAGAGGAAGCGGTTGTACATCTCCTTCTCCATGTCGGGGAACTTCGCCTTGCGTCCAGCACCGATGAGACGACGCCTGCATCCCACCGCCGCCGACAGCCGTGCCTTGTTCTTCTTCCACTCGCGTATCTGACAGGGTTGTACCTCGGCCATCTTCGCCAGCTTGCGATTCGAAAGCTTCGGGTCGGAGTCGAGATGGGCCAACCAGTATAGCTTTTCCGCCGCTGTGCGCGAGACTCTCTTGCGCCTGGTCCTGCGATGTCTGGGGGAGGGAGGTGCAGCATCCCGGGTAACTCGCGGCATGTGGGGACGACGAATGGGCTGAGGGAAAGATGGAACAATGACACGAGGAAGTGTCGGGGGTGGCTCTGGCTCTCCATCGGCAGCATCTTCCCAGTCTAGCTCATCATCGTCCTGCCAGTAGTTGTCCCACTCCTCGGGACGACTTGCAATCGGAGATGATGTATAGGGAGGTGCGGGAGGAGCAGGTGGGGTAGGAGGTGCAGGAGGCGCGGGAGGCGCAGGCGGTGCTGGTGGCGCAGGTGGTGCTGGAGGAATCGACGGAAACGGACGGAGAAGAAATTGACTACCGTGGGGTGGATGATGGGTTCGCAAAACTGAGATGCCGCTAACAGCACGGGCCGCCATGGCTGAATCTCTGCCTACAAAATCGCCTTGGCGGACTTATGCCCGAGGCTCTGTTAGAGAGGTTCTACATCGCGAGGGATTTTCTGTTGGGAAGACAGTACTGGAACGCTAAAATGACGCAGCGACAACAAACGGATGAACAAGAAACGTGGGCCGACCCCCTACCCGAGCCGCGCACGGTACTTGAAAGCCAAAAAAGACCATCGCATGCTAGCATGCGATGGTCTGGTCGAGAAGCTTCCCAAGGGCATCTTGAGATGCCAGATTCCATCGCAGGTGTTGCGCTGGCAGCATCTACTGCACCTAGCCGTGCACTCGCAGCGCTGGCAGCCGATGGCAGCAATCCGCTGGTTGTTGGCAGCTGTGACCGTTACGGATTGGCCACAAATCCTATAGCCCATGCCGAGTTCGACACGTTGGCATGGCCATCCTCTCATCCAAAAAGCACAAAACTCCGTAACAGAAACCCAATGCATGTATAAGCCTAGAAACAATCAGATTCAAAATGAATTATACATAACACATGGGCGTTATATTTTTCCAGCCCACTGTTAACACCCAGTCAAATTTTTAATGAATGATTATATCCACCATAGGGTGTTATATCCGGGGGATTACGGTAACAAGGATATATAGCTCTAGGAAAGTACCTATTTGCTAATGTACATGTTCATCACTATCGCGCTATGCGCCCTAGATGATAATGAAGAGATGCAACTGTTCGCGTGACTGATACGACTGTCCTCTTAATGAGCGCTATTTGCTGACGCCATCCTACGGAATTATATTCTACAGTGGGATTCGACACTATCTACCGATAATCGACTTACAGAAACGCTAAGTATGAATTATATCACAACACTCTCGAGGGTTTCACCTCCTCTCCCCAGCTGGCTACTTCCAATTACTCTTTGTGATGGCGCCTGGAATTCCCTAGAGAGCTTGTGACTACCCCGCGACTCACCCAGGCTGACCTCATGTGGTCCTCGATTGCCGTCATCTGCGATACGGCCGTCCCACCTCGGCTTCTCCAACTCTCACATGAAACACCTTTCTACAGTTCTTTTATCTCGCTTTCTTATACCCTGCCATCAATCTCTTTTCCTGATATGGAATCCCATCTGGAGCCTCCTCCGGCTCTGATAACATGACAGGTGTCATGTTCCATGCCGTCTCTGCTCCTGTCTCCTCCTCCCTAGCTGTGTTCCTGACTCTTGACTTCCAGCCAGGTTCCTCCCCCCCCTTTTTAGTCTTTTCTGCTTTCACAGCGTCATGTGTCAACCAAGCTATCCTGCCCCCTCCCGTGCCAAGGCATGTGCTGCCACTGCTCTGGTGACGGGACCATGTGTCTTGGTTGCCATATTGCTGGCGGCTGCTACATTCGTGATGTACCCCCGCCGGCGCTCCCCTTGATCATTCTCCAGGACCAGCACCCCTGATGCTCTGACCTCTTTCACCTTACACCGCTCCGACCCCACAGCTATGTCTAATGCGTCTTTCTTTGCTCAGTGAGGATAGACTTCCCCACCTTCGCTCTCGTGATGGGCCTCCTCCTGTCCCTCCCTCCTTTCGCTGTTGGTAGCGTCTGGCATCTCTGAGTTCTGTCACATGAAGATTTTTCAATGCTGCAGGCAGTAGCTCTTTTAGGTACGCCGCCTGCTTACTTGCCAGTGCCGCCCAGTTCTCGGCGTTTCCTGCTGTCACTACGTCACTGAGTAGCTTCGGTGCATCTACCGGCAGTACTGGTTCCCTCCCGTACAATAGGTGATACGGAGACGTGTCTTGCAAGGCGGCCTGCTTTGCGAAACGGTATCCGGCCAGCACCCATGGCAGTTCCAGATCCCAATCTCGCTTCTGCCCTTCACTGTACGCCCTCAACCCCTTCTTGATTGTCTGGATGAGTCTCTCTTTCAGGCCGTCCGACTGCGGATGGTAGCGAGATGTCTGCCTGTGTGTGATGCCGGCTTCCTTCAGCATGCCATCAAACGCCCCTTGAAACTCTGTCCCTTGGTCCGTTAGAACTTCCCCTCAGGCCCCGAACCTGCTCAGCACTTGCTCGACAAAGGCTTCTTTGATGAGCACACTACTCTTGCTGGACAGTGCTCTCGCCTCCACCCATTTGCTGGTGTGCTCTACCATTACTACAATGTACTGCTTGCCTCGCCGTGAGAGTGGCAATTCTCCTGCCAGGTCCAGAGACCATCGGAATCCCAGTCCCCGTATTGGCAGGGACTGCAGCTCTTCCCGTCCTCGTTCTAACACCACTTTGTTTTTCTGGCATGTCTCACATTTCCCCACTCTCTCAGCCACCTCCTTCCTCATCCCTGCCCACCAGTAGCTACTGGCCAGCAGTTGCCGGGTGCGTGCACTGCCATATTGCCCCAATTTCTCATGCCGTATTGCCCCAACTGCCGTGCGTGCACCCTCCTGATTATCCGCTCCCGATCCTCTGGTGCCAAGACCACCTTCCAGCCTTCTACCGTCCTGATCTGCAGTTGATCAAGGAACCATCTATAGGCTACCCCTGGCCCTCGCCCTCTCTGACGTCTGCTTTTCTTCTGACTGCTCTCCTTGTATCCACGCCAGCGCTTCTGCGTCGCTCCAGATGTTGGCCTGCCTGCCCTCCTCTGCCCTTTTGGTTCAATCTTCTGCTACTCCTGCCGCCATCACAACCCATTCTACCTCTCCCCCAGATGGCAGGTTCCGAGACAAGCCGTCGGCATGCTGCAGGGTCTTGCCGAGCCGATGCTGTATCTCGAAATCGAACTCTTGCAATCGCATGGCCCATAGAGTGTTCCGCCCTGACAGCGTCTGGTTCTTCATCAGCCACATTAGGGGTTGGTGATCGGTCACCAGCGTGAAGTGCCGTCCCTGTAGGTATGCTCTGAAGTGCGTCACCCCCCACACGGCTGCCAATCCTTCTCCCTCATAGGCGCTGTAGTTTGCTTCTGTGGCACTGCAGCTCCTGCTTGCGTATGCCACCACTCTCTCCTCTCCGTCAATCCTCTGACTTAGCACAGCGCCCATCCCAGTGCTGCTCCAGTTGGTGTATAGCACGAATGGTGCATCCGCCCTTGGGATTTGCAGGAGTGTCCCCATCTTCACAGCCTCTAACAGGTCCCGCCTAGCCTGTTCTTCTGCCTCTCCCCATCTCCACTGTTGTCCGTCCCTCAGGAGCTGGTTCAGCACGTGTGCTCTTTACTGAAATTCGGTATGAATTTTCGGTAGTAGTTAAGGAAGCCTAGCAGCGCCCGTAGTGCCCCCTTGTCCTTTGGCTGCTCCAGCTTATCCAGCACTGCCACATTCGCCTCTTGTATGCCCAGCCTGCCTCCCTTTACTTCGAACCCGAGGTAGCTAACACTTCGCCATGCTATCTTGCACTTGTCCGGATGGCAGGTGAGTCCCGCTGCTGCTATGGCATCTAGTGCTGCCTTCAGGTCTGCTGCATGGTCCTTGTCGTTCTTGCTGAATATGACGACGTCATCAATGTAGCACGCCGTAGCCGGCACCTCTTTCAGGGCCTGATCCATAACCCTCTGAAACACTGCTGAGGCGTTCCGTAGCCCGAAGGGCATGACGTTCCACTCGTATAACCCCTCGGCCCCATAGAATGCTGTTTCCGGTCTCCCGTACGACGATCTGGTTAAAACCCTGCCTCATGTCTACTGTGCTGAATATCGTCGCCCCTTCTAGCTTGTCAAATATCTCTTCAGCTGTTGGCATGCTGTATCTGTCTGCCACTGTCGCTCAATTCAGCTCCCTATAGTCCCCACCCATCCTCCTCGCTAGCACTGCTCCAGTCAGGTCTGTTCTTGCTGCCACCACTGTCGCCGCTGCATATGATGAGGTTGAGGGTCTGACTAGGTTCGGCTCCAATAGTTCTTGGCACTTGCTCCTGCAAATGTCTTCGTCCCCAGGACTCATGCGGCGCCTTTGCGGATACACGGGCGTTTCGGTCGTCAGCGGGATCTCTAGCTGATGTATCTTGCACTTTCCCAGCACTTGCAGGGTGTGCGCAAACGTCCCTTTGTGTTCTTCCACTACTGCTCTGATAGCTGCATCATCCTCTTCTCCCAGGTCTGCCCCCAGACCCCAAGTCTTCTCTTCTGTCTCTGCCGGTGTTGCTTCTTTCTCTGGCTGCATCAAATAAGCCCTTTCTTGTCTGCCATGTGCCTCTGCTGACTCCGTCTTTGGCCAGCATGGTCTCTGGCCAGCCATTTGCTTGATTAGCCATTGGAGCGCCTGCTGGTCCATCGCTCTCACTGCTTTTCCTTCCTCAAGCCTGAACCCCCGCGAGCCTTCATAGGCTACCAGTGTGGGCCATGCCCTCCTCGGCTCTCCAATCTTATTACATTGCTGCTGCTGCCTTGGCTGATCCCTCTTCTCAACCCCTGCTGCCGTTCTACCCGGCAGTAGCATGTCTTGTACTCTGTGCCCGTCGTCTCTCCTCAGCTCTCGTAGCCCTTTTTCTAGTTCTTGCTCTTGTACCCCGTTCTCTCCAATTGTCCTGGATATTGCTTAGCCAGCATCTCAGCATGATGCCAGGCCATCCAGCGGACTTCCAGGTTCACTTCGACGTGTATCCATCGCTGTACCACCAGCCCTGCTTCTAGCGCTGCTGCAAGCCCAGCACCAATCCCACCGAACAGCTCTACCAGCGTTATTGGCCGGCTCCCAAGTGCCTCTCCCGTCGGCCTCTTCTGCCACCATCTTCCCTGGGTCCAGTGGTCTCCCTCTTCCCGGTCTCCTTCTCCCTTCCTACGGCGCGCGCTGCTGGCCTCTCTCCCACACGTAGCGCCCTTCTCGGCTCCATTCGTACAAACCGGACAGGTAGTTCTCCCATCGTCCCTCCTTCCAGTACTCGGTGCGAAATCGCACCTTTTCCTCCCAGGCGCAGATCTGTGCCCCTACTTTGTAAATCAGCTCCATGGCCACCAGCAGGTCATAGTCTTCTGACAGTTATTCCGCACTGCACCCGAATCCGCGTTTCCTGTTCTTGCCCGGGCAGCAGGGTGATCTCAAGCGGCTCTTTGGTGCTCGGTATCCACTTGGGAGGGCCTCCCTCAGCTGTCATGATTAACATGCCTTTCTTTATCACGTTTACCTGTCCCACTTCTTTCAGCCTTTCCGCCAATTGCCGCCCCATCAGTACACTTGGGGCGCCGGTGTCGATCACCGCGTTTTCAACGCCGACTCCCTGCACCGCTATGATGCCTGGCACAGCCACCAAAGCCGTCTTGTGACACACCAGTCGTTCTTCTGGGTGTCGCCTTGCTTGATTGTCTGCCTCTGCATCTGCCCTGACTTCTTGTCTTCTCGGTCTTGGGGCTGCCACCTCCTGTCTACCATCTACTCCTCCGCTTCACAATCCTAACTCTCTCCGATCTCGGGGCGCCGTCGCCATTAAGGCGAACTCACTCTGGCTGTCCTCGTCTTCCTCATCTTCCTCCCATGCCAGCATTGCTTTCTCAGGGTCTTTACTGATCTCTGCCTTTCCTAGCTGCGCCCTAAGCTTCTTCAGCTCCAGCTCTAGTTCCTGTTCCCCAGTAGTCCTTCCCCTTCCTGAGATGCTCCTCAGGTAGCACTGCTGAACGGTGTGCCCTTTCTTTCCGCATTCCCCGCACGTTGGCGCTCTGGGACAGTTACGCCTGAAATGCCCCAACTGACTGCAGACGTCACATGTAATTCCGGCCGCACAGTCTCGCCTTATGTGCCCGACTTCTCCACACTTGTGGCAGCGCCGCTCCTCGGTGTTCCACTCCCTCTGCTCTTCGTCGTACCGCCGACCCTCAGTGGCTGCCCATGCCGCTCTTCTTCGATCTGGCTGCCGCTGCACTCCCCTTAGAGAATCGACAAATTGCCATCCTTGCTCTGCCTCCTTCGCGATCTGATACACCTGCCGCATCATTGCCTTCGTGCGAATCGGGTACAGGGCACTCCTCATCTCGTTCACCAGCTCCTCCTCTAATCCTCCCATAGATTTTGCCACCATAAGCCGATCCTCCATGCAGTTCATATCCTCTGCTAATTCCACCAGACGATTGTAATACACTAAGAGCGATTCGCCCCGCCCTCAATGAAGTCATTAAACTCCGCCGTCCACTCAGCTGAATCACCAGGGAACTGCACACTCAGGATCTCGAAGTACTGCTGCGTGATCTTGCTCGGAGGAAAGTCTCCCCTTTCACATAGCCGCAGCGGTCGTGCTCGCTCCACTCGGTAGTGCGTCTGCGCCTCCCCTCTCAAGGTCTTCCCCAGATTCCGAAAGAACTCGATCGGATCTAGACCCTCTCGGTCCCAGCAGTATCGAATCTCGTCCACCAGCATGATGTAATTATTCAATGATGGCTCCTCGTCGGCAACGCCTGACCTTCGAGGCCTTGTAGCTCGCGCGCTGCCGCCTGATACTCGGGATGTAACGGGGAATTACGATCCTCATCCACATATCTAGCCGGATAACTACGGCCAGACCGCAGGTGATGCCGCTCGGGACTCACCTCTCTACTCATGACTCGCCGATCTAGTGCGCGAGCTCCACTCCGCAACTTTTCGCTTGTATGCAACAAGACTGGCTGCGCTACTCAAGCGTCTCACTGCCAAGCTAGCTGGATTCCCAAACTGCTCGTGCTCTGTAGGAACAAATTGCAGTATAGAGGAAGCATACAAGCAAAAAGCTAGCAGGAGACTATGGTACAGTCTATTTACACAGTGGTTCCTCTCGAGGGTGTTCACCTCCTCTCCCCAGCTGGCTACTTACAATTACTCTTTGTGATGGATCTTGGAATACCCCAGAGAGGACAGTGGGTGGCGGTGGTGGCGGGGACAGTGGGTCCGACGAGGGGACCTGGGCTGGTGCCCAAGAGCAGCAGCAGCAGCAGCCGCCGCAGCAGCAGCCGTCGCAGCAGCAGCAGCAGTCGTGGGCCCGCCAGGGTGGCCGGGTGCCCCTAACGGTGGCGGCCCTCGCAGCTCGGTGTCGGCTGACAGCTTCGGTGCTGGGGGCTACCAGTACCAGCTCCAGACCGGCCCCCTCTGCGGCATTGTGTGTCATCGCCCGCACCCGACCGCTCGCTGCTTCCGCTGCCTCGACGATCTCTTTCGTCGCTACGCTAAGGTTTTTTTAGACTCTGTTTCTCCCGGATTCCCCACCCCCCTGCACCCTGATTCGTCTGGATTTCAGGGTAGTTGATTTCTGTTTCATCAGGATTCGGGTACAAAGTTACTTTTAGCCGAGTTACAGCAAACATTGACTCGGACATGTCAAGATGTTCAAGGTCCAAACAGGGTAACATTTGCAAAGTGCCAGAAAAAGAGAGTACTTTTGGATTTGCTATGTTAGGAGTGTGAATTTCCTCCGCTAGTTTTCTGACAAACCCGCTAAAGTAGGGTAGAATATGTGCCAGCAACCTTCGCAACTTTCCGGGTTGCGCGAAGGGGGAGGAGGGAAACGTGGCTAAACGTTTCTAGCCAAATGTTCCTAGCTCCGTGGGCGTGCGGGGCTGTAGGAGGAATTTTCCAGTCTGTAAGGGACGCCAACTATTCAAGGTTTAGGGTGGCCTGGGTGGGAGGAGTCTCTCTGTCTAAATTTCTCTAGGTTTAAGGGAGACTTAGCCAAATACTCTATGTTATAGGGTAAATGCAGGTGAGGACTAGCCGAAGTTTCGTGGATGTGGGTAGGAGGACTATCTCTGTTTGGGAGGGACTTAGCCAAATTCAACTATGATCGAGGAAGGACTGTTCCTGACTGTGACGGACTTAGCCAAAAATTCTGGGTTTCGGGTGGTGCGGGTGGGAGGAGCACGGTATGTCTGTGTGTGGGGGACTTCGCCATATTTATTTGGTTGCGGGGTTAAGGAAAGAATGCTGCTGGAAGTTGGGGACTTAGCCAATTTTTCTGAGTTTTGCTGGTGTGGGAGTTATGTGTGTGAGGGACTTCAGCCGAATTTCTTGGGTTCGGGGGCTCCGTGGGATTGTTTCTGAAAGTTGGGGACTTAGCCGGAAAAATGCCACTGCCACCCTGGGTGCGAGGAGGGGGGAAGGGGAGGGGGGTGGGGGGGGTCTTTCTTGGCAGTTGCAGCCGGATTGCCCCCCCAGCGAATTCTGATCTTCCCGGAGCCCCCCGCAACACCACTTCTATAAAATCCGGAAACCCCAATAACTCTACCCGTTTAAAATCCAGAACGAGCCCAATGTGAACTCTTAATGTTTTTTCATTCCGGGTAATTACCCTTGAAAATAAGGCCCCGGTGACTACCCCGCGACTCACCCAGGCTGATCTCATGTGGTCCTCGATTGCCGTCATCTGCGATACTGTCCTCCCACATCGGCTTCTCCAACTCTCACATGAAACACCTTCTACAGTTCTTTTATCTCGCGTTCTTATACCCTGCCATCAATCTCTTTTCCTGATATGGAATCCGATTTGGACCCTCCTCCCGCTTGAATAACGCAGTATGTGTTAGCTTCTTGGTGAGAAAATCTGCAACCATTTCATTGGTCGAGCAGTAGACCAATGGCATGCTTCCCTTCTCGACTTCATCCTTGATGAAGAAATGTCGTAGTGAAATGTGTTTCGTCCTGTTGGCGAAGCCAGGCTGGTGCGCGATTTTGACCGCACTCTGGCTGTCGCACTGTAAGGTGAAATGTGTACTTGTCATCAATTTCGCTTCCTCCAGTAGCTCTTGCAGGTAGAGACCTTCACGAGTAGCTGTGCAAGTAGCTATAAACTCGGCTTCAGCCGATGATAGAGCTATGAGCTCTTGCTTTGTAGAATTCTAGGAGATGGTCCCGATAGGTTCGAGACGATAGATGAAGCCAGTGTGAGATCGACAATTAGAGGTATCTGTTGCATGATGAGCATCGACATACCCATTGAGATAAAGAGTTTTCGTAGTGATGGCTTGGTAGGTAAGTCCGACTTCAGGCATCGAAATAAAATACTCTAGGGCGCGTAGAAGATCTAGCCGATTCTCCCCCTTAGGTCGATGCAAATATTGTGCGAGCTGGCTAGCAGCATAGGCGAGATCTGGATGACAAGTTACGGCTGCGAATAAGAGTCAACCCAGCTGTTGCTGATTGAGGTGAAATTCGGTGCTATCAAGCAGAGTTGTATCAGGCTTGTAATCCGTAGGCAGTAATTGGTAAGGAGTAGTGACTGTCGAAGGTGTAAGGTTAAACCGTGCGGCGAGTGTAGCTGCGTATTTCGAAGCGGTACCGTAATCACCCAGGTATATGCCCATAGGGAGTTTACGAGACTGGTTTGAAAACGTGGGGGGGATTTAATTGAATAAAAACTATAAACCCATGGGCGTTTTAAAGGGATTATATGGAAAATTAACGTTTGACTTTAAAACGTAGGTGTTGCTCTGAATTTTGCGATGGGAGTAATTTTAGCGAGGATTCATGATTCACTCGCGCTGGAAGTCCAGTCAACAAGGTGCCACGCTGGAAACTCGTCGTTCTGACATCCCACTTGCCGGTAAGTTCCTTACTCCCCTTGACTTCTTCTAGTGGGATTGGATCCCATGTATCTCATTTTTCCAGAGCCGCTAACTCCCAGTCCACGGCTTCCCGCCATTTTCCCCTACGTGGACTAGTCAAAGCTTGGCGAACGGTTTTCGGCTCCGGAATCTTATTGTTGTTCGACTGTACTGCAACTGCAAGTCCCAAAACCTGTAACCCAGTTTCTGTAAAACGAGGACGATTGGAATTTACACCAGAGAAATTGCCTTTTGACCCCTGTTCCCCCCCAATTTCACTGGGTGTCACACAGATAGGTGGTTCGGAGACAACGGGCATGGGCTGCTGCTGGCGATCACATTCGTAATCAAGAAGAACATCCCGAACGTCTTCAGAATCAGCTTCGCTGAATGGGATGAATTCAGCGGTTCCGGTTGACGTAGCGGGTATAGGGATGTCTGTGGCAGCTGAATCTAAAGCCTCGGCAGCTGCTTCATCCTATACGTCTGCCTCAGCTTCGTCGGTAGCGAAGGCACGCAAGCCTTTGAATAGCCTGGCAGGGTTGGCAGCTGTTGCCTGTTGAGCTCGAAAAACAGGTAAGATGAGTCGAAAAGACAATCACGTGCTGGTACAATTTGACTCGTGCAAAGATCCATGATCTTCCACGCGTAAAACTATTTTTCGATGCCAAGATGAATACCCCACTTAGCCCGTTCATAAAATTTCCGAAGCGCTGAAGTCGGAGGTCGATATTGGACGAGACAGCAAAAAACTCTTAAAAGTTTGGTGTTCCCACCTGTGTTTGTCCACTGCAGTTGTGGCGAAGAAAATTGTGGAAGAGACATTGTGGACAACAAGTTGTGCAGAAGAACGGCATGGTACAGGGCGTATGTCCAAAAGTGCGGTGGAAGTGCATCTTGGGTCAGCAATACTCCATCTTCTCCTGTACGGTTCTGTTCATCCGCTCCGCTACCCCCATGTGTTGGTGTTGATGCGGCAGAGACCCTCGCCGTTTGATGCCTAGGGTTTGAAGATACTCAGAAATGGTATTACTGGTATACTCTCCTGCTCCGTCACTTTGAAATTCTTGAAGCTTCTCCTTCGATTCTCTCGTAGCTAATGCGAGCCACGCGACGAAAATGGAGTGAGCCATATGACGAGCTAGAATGTTAACAGTCCAAACGTAGCGGGTAGAAGCTTCGATAAAAGAGATCATATACAGTAGAGCTCCGCCATACTGTAGGTCCAGCTTCAGGAACTGAGAAACGAAGAAACTGAGAAACTGCTGGAGATTCTTTGAGTTGTCCAGGAACGAAGTGAATAAGAGGGAACTTCGTAGTTTTAACCTCCAGGTGGAATATTTCTTCTGGTTCCAGATTTAAGTCTCCTTTTTCGATTTCTGTATCTTGTGTATCTGCTGTGATAGGATTAAGGACGAAGTCTAGGTGAATTTAGGAGCTAGAATGACTCAAAATATGAATCCGAAATTCTGGGCAGAAAAGTCGTGCCCACAAGAAACGTCTTCGACGAAGCACTAGCCGTTGGAATGTCGCGAAATCTGGGCATGTTGTAGCTATTAATCGCAGCTATCATTCCCAATTTAAATCATGACGATTAATGGAGTATTTGCGACACTATGTCTCTCAAAGCATAGGGGGGTATGCTGTAGGAGAAGAACTTCACTCAATCTCAAACTTCAATGAAGGTCCAATACTCTCACAAGGAATTAGAGGAGCAAGAAAGAGGTTGGAAGGGAAGAGAGGGATGATAGGAAAGGTTCCAAGAGAGTCCCCAACCAAGAAAATCCCAAAAGCACAAAGATTCCCCTCCCTAAAGGAACCCCAACTTTGACATTTTTCCCTTCCCAACCAATCCAACCAAGTTGGCCACCCTTGTCAACCTAGTTTGGTCGTTCCCAACCAATTTGCAGCTGCTACAGTAGAGTGACGATTTTTCTCGACCCAACTTTATATTGTCACCCCACAACTTCACTTTGTAACTGCCGCAATTGTAACGCAAACTCATGGATTTTGAATCTTCATAGCTTTCACGTTCTTGCTCTGATTGAAGCGGTTCTTGTTGCGTCGGAGAGATCTTCTCAAT